TCTCAGCGATTTGGTTCCTTTGGAAGGACAGAAATGCCCTTGTATTCAGAGCTGTTAGATCAAGACCACAGGATCTATGTTCTACGATTATACAACATGCTAATTATACAGAACTAGCGAAGAATCCTCTGTGCCATGCAAAGCCGCAACTACCACGCTGGATTCGTTGGATACCACCTGCGGAGGGCTTTTGCAAGTTGAATTCGGATGGATCCTATAGCAGTGTTGAGAAAGCTGCTAGCGCCGGGGGCCTAATTCGGGATTCCTTAGGGAATTGGCTCATAGGATTCACAGTCAATATTGGGCATGCTTCTATCTTTATAGCTGAGCTTTGGGGAATGAGAGCAGGACTACGTTTATACCGTGAGCTGGGGTTCACTAGAGTGATTGCTGAGATGGATTCTCTTATGGCTGTTCGGTTTGTCAATGAGAGAAGAGAGCCAGATAATCTAGCTGCTGCACTCCTGTCAGATATTAGGGACTTGATGGCACAGTTTGAATCTTGAATGTTGCAACACGTCTTACGGGAAGGGAATGCTGCAGCTGATTTTCTTGCTTCCCTTGGACACACATCACCCCCAGGCTTAAGTATCTTAGACTCACAACCGACTGGTCTTCGACCTATCCTTCTAGGGGATCAGATGGGGGCTAGTTTCCTCAGACTCTAGTTTTGCTGTTTCTTAGCTTTCTCACTGATGTACCGAAAAAAAAAACACCTTTTATAACTTTGAACTATTGATTCCTTTTGGGACATAATAATAGACTTTTGATTTCTTTTGAGATGTTATTCTACAATTATTGATTATTGCAATTAATTGTTTTTGACTTTATAGACTTTAAATTATTGATTATTTGACTTTTAATTTCCTTAATTATAATTGCTAATTGATAATACTGTTTAATTTCCAATTTGTTTGAGAGAGAGACTTTAATCTTTTAATTAGTTTTTGCCAATAGTAAGAAATAATCATATTGTTAATTTTAAATTGTTGTGAGTTTATGCTAATAATCATTTTGCCTTGTTTTATATCTATTTCCCGACTATTTGTTAACTTTGTCAACAAATGTTTTAGCCTTAAGTTTAAGTTTTATATTTATTCTTATATTAGTCCCCTACAATGCAAATCCAAATTTGTATAATTGTTTTGTTTTGTTTTATTTTATTTCAATTTACAGTTTAATTTATTTTCAAAAATTACTCAATTTCTACAAAGATATTTTAGCCTTAATGATTTTTTTAATCAATTTAGGATGCATTTCTTCGTTGGTTTATGATTATTTTATTTTATTCTTTTGAATTTTAAGATTTGGATATTTTTTCATTGTTTTTAGAGTTTTTTCATTTGTAATCTATAAATTATCTTAATAATAAAAAATTATTAATGTTTAACAACCCATTTGGCTTGAATTTCCTTTATGTATATATAATTTATAGTTATGCTTCTTCTAACCTTAAATTCTTTGTCACTAGTTATACTAAATACTGTACTTTATGCCAAGCCTTAGATTTTGACGCCAATTGGAGTTTCCTTCCTCAAGGTTATATATAATATTAAATTAATTTAATATCCATAATTATTTGATTAAAAAATTATATTTCTCAATAAATACTTAAAATGTTAAACTTTTTTTTATAATAAATTAATTTACTAAATATACTCAATCAATTAAAAAATTACCGTATATGATTTATATAAGTAAATATATGAACTCAACAGTTAATTTTTAAAATATTGATGTTTTTAAATTAAAATTCCATAAAATTGGATTGGTATATATTATTCTCAATTTATTAAATATTTTGCTAAAAGTAAAGAGACACTTCCAATTAACTATTAGCTTAATTCTTCACAATTGCCACCATAATCAAAGGATAAGAAAACTAGATTGGAGAGGAGATGTATAAAATAGATGCTAGAAGGTTTTATCAAGACACTTCATTTAATTTAGAAAATAATAATTATTTTTAAACTTGAATATTAAAGAGATTTTAATTTATACAGATTAAAGTATGCAACAATTACTAGATGAAAATTTATTTAGGAAAATGAACATAAATTTCATTGTAACTTCTTGAATTATGTAATTCATACGTGAGATGTAAGGCCACCAAGCCCCCAGATGTTGATCACGTTAGTTGTCTTCCAAGAAACCAAGCATCACACGATAACTTGGGTAAAGCCAGATGATTGAGAGGAATTCAATGCCTTCTCCTAGCTGCTTAAGGTGACTAATGTGCTGACTTGAAACCGCTGCATAAAAAAGCATCTCCATCCAGACATTCCTAATCAGCTCCCATTTATTTCCTGATTGGTTCAAAACTCTGACTAATTGGAGCACTTCTTCCCGTATGTTTTCAAATGATCTCTCACTGCAACTTGAAAAAAAAAGTGAATTTTAGAAAGAAATAAAACTACCTTAATTCTGATTTTAAAATTTTATAAAAATAAGAAATTAAAAAATCAAACCCAGATTCCTGCTCCTCTATGGACTCACTGCAAGTGTCAAAAAAAAAAATTATATTAGAAAGAAATAAAACTGCTTTAATTCTAATTTTATAATTCTTTGAAAATAAGAAATTCAAAAAATCAAACCTAGATCCAATCTTCTCATTGTGCTCAATGCAACTTGAAAAAAAATGGATTTTAGAAAGAAATATTTTTAATTTAATTCTAATTTTATAATTCTATTAAAGTAAGAAATTAAAAACATCAAACCTGGATTCAATCTCCTCT